TTTGACAATGACAGTACAAAGAAAACTATTCCAGGCTTATTCCGTACCAGGCTTATCTCAGTTTTAGATTCTCGTGGATTAACAACTCACAACCAACTTTATAATAATAATAATAATAAAATACTTACCTCTAACACTATATTTTCTTTTGAGGTCCTTTGTTAGCTTATCTCTTCCTGGTTTTTACTAATTTAAGTTGTTGGCTATTGACAACACTCTAAATATTAGCTATCCACTTAGTATGTCTTCAAGAAAATCTACAGCCTACTCTGAATTGTTGTTCTACCCACTCCGCCCCATGTTCAAATATCAGAATGTTCACTTGGAATTTTGAACTGAAGTTGAAATATGAAATATCATCATCAATATGAAATATCTAACACATTTTAGTCGGTAGTGAAAATGAGCCTAATGCAAATATTTGAATAGCATAGAACTTGTATCCATGAGTTTCAGAACCACAGCTCTGAAAGAGTTTGGAAAAAGTTTGTGTCCAAGGCCCATCTTTGTATAAAATTCAACATGGCTGAAATCTAATTCATTTTCCTCCCCCTTCCCTGTCAGGACTTTTCCTTCTTATCAGTGGCACCTAGGCTTAAAATATTAGAAAAATGTTTGATATTTTTCACTCCCTTTTCTTCTCCTTGTCCTTCACCAATTGCCCCATGCAATTATTTCTTACTTCTTTTGGATACATCCTTCCATTTCTAGGCCCCCTGCCACCACCATATTCTCTCCCTTTCCTGAATAATTCCTATGCAAAGCCAAACTTATCCATCTAAAGGATTGTATTTTACATATCATCCTAATGCCTTCGTTTATACTGAATTCATTCTGCCTGAAGTGTTGTTACCTTTCTTGTACTGGTCTAAACTGTACCTTTTGTTGAGTCCTGTTTTCCTTGTGACTTCCTTTCTGGTTGTCCTAAGCTTCAACCACTCTTGTCTGAATTTCTGGAGCATTTATTGTCTGTATCACTTATTTAGCACACAAAATACTACTTTGCTGTATCTGTGCACAAATGCTTGCTTCCTTTCTAGCAGTGCCTGTAATGGTTATGCATTAAGAGGTATTGAAGATTCTTTTCCCCTCTAATATTCAACATAGAGATTCAAGAGACATCTCAACTTATATGTATATAAACAAACAAACAAACAAAACAAACAAGTAGAATACATTGTTCCAGTTTCCTGAGGTTGACTTGGGGTTTTTATATTAATATTTTTTTTGGAGCAACTACTCTTTGTCTCTATGCTAGACATTATACTAGATGTTGGAGACAGAACAAAACAGGAGAGCAGTCAGTTCTGCCTTCAAGAAGCACATATTCTGATGGGAACAAATAAACACAATGGCAATACTGTGGAGTATACATCACAGTAGATGCATGGGCAATATCAGAACACATAAGAACATGTAATACTGATGTGGGAGGCCATGGCAGTCATCCCAGAGAAAGGGATCCCAAAAACTGGAACACAGAGGATGAGTAGAAGTTGCTCAGGCAAAAGTGTGTGTGAGTATATGCAGGGGTGGGGTGGGGGTAGGGAACAGAAGACTACTCCAGGCAAAAGGAACATCATATGCAAGGTCCTGGAGACAAGCAAAACATGGTTCGTTGAACATGTGAAAGGAGTTTAATTTGGGTGGAACACAGAGTGCAAGGCATGGGAAAGCAAGAGATGAGGTTGGAGGGGTAATCAGGGCTTATGATAAGATAGGAAACCCTTGGCAGGGCAGTGAGCAGCATGTGGGAGGCAGGATGACTAAATGAGATGCATTTTAGGGAGGCCACTTTGCCTGCGTGTAGAGAATAGTCTGGGTGGGGAAGGGAGTGGAGGCAGGAAGGCCAGTTGGGTTGCTGCTGTGGTAGGTAATCATTGATGATGAGCTAGCCATAGCAGTGGTGGTAGGGATGAAAAAACTGGATAAATTTCAGGGATGCTGAAGGTAGAACTGTGAGGACTAAGTGTGGGCATGGGGAGAGAGAGAGAGAGTTAAATAGGTGTTCATGCCATTCCATAAGAAGAAAATCAGGAGAAAAAATCTGGTAGGGAGGAGAAGATAATGTGTTAAGTGTCAGCCATGTTTAGCTTGGGATCCTCTACCTGGGAATACCCATGTGGAGATGTCATGGCAGCCGTGTATGTTGGCCTAAACCTCAGGAGAGAAATCTTGGTCAGAGATGTAACTTTGGGGCTCCAAAGTAAATTACTCCAAGTAAATGTGATAAGGAAGCCATGTAAGTCCAAGAAGACAATGTGTGTGTAGAGTTAAGTGTAGAATAACAAGTGTGTGTGAAGTAAGAAGATAAAGCCAGACTAAAATCCTAAACCCCAAAGAACAAAAATGTTTAAAAGATGAGCAAGAGGATCACACACACACACACACACACACACACACACACACACACACACAAACTGAAAAGTGGTCTAGAGGTAGGAGGATATCTAAGAAACTATGGTGTTGCCTAAGTAGGTCAACAATGTTACATACAATATCAATAAATCCGGGCCTATTATTTATGAGCAAGTTTTTTTTTTTTAATCTTGGTGTGAATACTACAGTGCAGCAATTCTCAAACGTTTGGTTGTACAAATTATTGTATACTCTTATAAATTACTGAGGACTCAAAAGAGCTGATTATGGCATCTGATTATGTAGATTATGGCTACATCTACTGATATTAATACAAATTAAAATAGAAAACTTTAAATGTATTAATTCATTAACAAATAATAAACCTATTTATTATTAGTTAATATGTTCATAAAAGTAACTATTTTAAAATTTTTTTCAACGTTTATTTATTTTTGGGACAGAGAGAGACAGAGCATGAACGGGGGAGGGGCAGAGAGAGAGGGAGACACAGAACCGGAAACAGGCTCCAGGCTCCGAGCCATCAGCCCAGAGCCTGATGCGGGGCTCGAACTCACGGACCGCGAGATCGTGACCTGGCTGAAGTCGGACGCTTAACCGACTGCGCCACCCAGGCGCCCCAAAAGTAACTATTTTAAAACAAAAAGCTTAGTGAGGAGAGTGGCATTATTTTACATTTTGGCAAATCTAATGTCAGGCTTTCTGGAAAACAGCTGGATTCTCATTTCTGGTTCTGCCTTCAATCTGTTTTGCTGTCATGCATTATGAGTAGCCTCTGGAAAATTCCACTGTATTATCATGAAAGAACAAGAGTGAAAAAAGTAGATAACATCTTAAATAATGATGAAAATAGTTTGTTTTGCAGACTTCCTCAGAGGGAACTCTAGAGATCTGGGGACTACACTTGTAGGATTAATGCCCCAGAGTGGGAGAGCTTGACCATGCTGTGAGCCTCACAAGCTGTTGATACTATATTCAAAAGTATGCTGGGTAGAGTCAACTAAGGCTTCAAGAGTTATTTTATGAGAGGTTGAGGTGGCCTGGTTGATACTACCTTCCAAAGTTAGGAATGGACTTTAGAATGTTCATTCAACTGATTCATTCAACATGTATTTATTTAGCACATATTCTATGCCAGGAAATGTTTTAGAAGGAGAAGATATACCAATAAACAAAACAAAGCTTTGCCTTCATGAAGCCTCCCTTCTGCTGAAAAAGATTACACAATAAACAAAATAATAAAATATATAGTATACAGGAGCATGGTAAGTACTATGCAGAAGAATAATGCAAAGAGGTATAGGGATTGTTGGAAGGATTTGCAAATTTCAGTAGCAGGGACAGAGAAGGACTCATCTGAGCAAAGGCAGCATTTGAGCAAAGACCTGAAGGAGGCGAGAGAGCCATTTGGTTATCTGGTGGAAGAGCTTTTCTAGGTATTTGAAAAATTAGTTTTTAAAATTTAGTCTAACTTTAATTAATATGTATTCTTTAATCTGGCATCGGTTGTATCTGGCAGTAGCTGCAAGCATAGAAAATAAGATCTGAGAACTAATGTTCATTCAGTGTCTGTCATGGACCAGGTATTCTGCTAGGTATTATAGGTGTTATATATGAAGTTTGGTACCTTCATTAATGTTTACAGTTTAGTGAAGAAGACAAAGCATGCACGTACAATTCCTGCAGTTGCGGTGTAGCAGTTCTTACGAGGAACAGTAGTTGGTTTGAAGTTGCACCAGCAGAGGCTTCTATGCACCTGATCTACCCGAAGTTTACATTTCTTACACCGAACTGATGTGTGAAGGGTACTACTCTTTAATGTAGCAGGAAGTAAGCCAGGAAGTTAATAACACCTAATCGCACCTTTTACAGAGCACTTGAGTTTACAAAGCGTGTTCGCTAATTAATCCATTTAATCTTCATAACCATTTTCAGAAGTGGGTATTATTCTTAGTGTTATTGCCTTTGTGCGATGGGAAACAGGCTCGGAAGGCTAGATAAAGTGGTTATACGGTATATTGCGGGGTCTTTGAGCGCAATGGAAGCTCTGTGGTACAACTTAGTAAGTTTATTTAAAGTAGCACTGGGACGGACCTGTAGGCAGAAAGGGCTGTACTTTTGCTGTATGAACGTGGTGGTTATATCCTTAGTGCTCAGGGAGGAGGAAACGCGCAGGGAGTATTCGATCATAAACGATTTTCTCTGAATTTCTACTCATAAAACCACTTTCACAAGATTTCTCTGGTGATTATCATTCAGTTCCATATTAAAAAAAATTTTTTTTAAACATTTATTTATTTTCAAGAGACAGAGTGTGAGCGGGGGAGGGGCAGAGAGGGAGACACAGGATCTGAAGCAGGCTCCAGGTTCCCAGCTGTCAGCGCAGAGCCCCGCAGGGCTCAAACCCACTGACCTTGAGATCATGACCTGAGCTGAAGTCTGACGCTTAACAGACTGAACCACCCAGGCGCCTCTCACTCCGTTCTATATTAATAATTGGTAAGACAGACAGGCAGTCATGAAACCCTTTAAGAATGTAGCAACCAGCACATATTTGAACCTTATCAAAACTATGCAGGCCATAGGTCAGCCTTGTGGACTAAAGTTGAACATATTTTTGCTTCTATCCCTCATCAGGTGGAGTTGGGGCTTAAGATAATCTGCCTTCAAACACAAAGCTTTTCCTACTGCAATGCAGCTGTTATGAGCAGCTGCTGAAATAAAAGAGCGTTGTGCTCTGCAACTCAGTCCTTTCCCAAGTACACCACTGAAGGAGGGTTAGATTAGGACCGGAGGGTACTAACAGCCTACAAAGCAGGGCGAAATCACCCACGGCTCTTCCACTCCGCGCTTGCGCAGAGGAGGAATTAAACTCCCCGGAAAGACGCCTGGGACTCTGAGTTTGCGCAGACGCAGAGCTTCCTCAAGGCGGAACTGGGGCGACCCGGCCTCCTGCAACCTAAACACCCGGGGAGAAAGGAAGGTGGCAGACGTGCAGCGGTGCGCATGCGCGGGCACTTCTCTCGGGTGAAGGGTTGAGAGCCGGACCGGGCGGCCAGCTGGGCTGAGAGCGGAGTAGGGTCAGGATGGACGAGGACGTGCTGACCACCCTGAAGATCCTCATCATCGGCGAGAGCGGCGTGGGCAAGTCCAGGTGAGGCGAGCCTGCGGGCCGTGACGAGGGCAGCGGGGCTCTTGCTGCCTCCGTGGCCTCTGTCTGCTGGGCCGCGACGGGAACGGTAAAGGCGGCGGGCCAGGCTGGGGGCGGGCTCCGCGGGGTCTTCCCGGCCTCTTGGCCGCGCGGTCCTGCGGCCCCTGTCCTCCCGGCGCCCGCCCGGTTCTCGGCCTGTGCCAGGCCCGACTTGTCTGGATCGCTTCTCCTCGCGTCGCGCGGAATAAACAATTCCGAGGGCCGCCGCTCGGCCGGCAGGTTTGCTGCCGACGAGCCTAGGGCGTGGCGGGCGGATTTGGCCCGAGTGAGGCCGAGCGCGAAGCCGGGTCTCGGCCCCCGGGGTCCAGGCTCACTGTCATTCACCCCGCGAGTTGAGTTGGAACTTCAGCGCTTTGGTTTTTGTCAAGCTTTCTCTGAACACGCAGGGCTCTGCACGGGAAGTTTCGCGACGCCTTAGGTCACATTCCTGGCCTATTTTGGTGCACCCCGTTGCCGCTTCTCTGTTTCTTTATGAGTCAGCTGTGAAAGAACTCCTTGGTCTTCTGACCCCTTGAGTAATTCACCTTAGCCTAAGATACTAGTTGAAGCGGCGGACCACCCTTGAGAGTAACGTGTTATTGTTGCCTCGCGTTCTGCCACATCATCTGGAGGTAAAAGAACAAAGTAGTATTTTGTGTTTTCTTTCTTGACTTTTTCTTGAGGGACGGTGGTAACGGACGGTAAATTCGAGTTAAATGTCACTCAGGGAAGGCTCAGTGGGTGTTGCAAGCGGGGTGTGATTTCATTCAAGCCTTAGAACAGAGTTCCCCAAGGAATGTTATCCTTGCTATCTGATGATTATCATCATCACTGGCTTATATTCTAGGCTGTCTTGGTTTTTAAACAATATTCAAATTTCGGGAGCTGTAAATAATTCCATGGTTTAGCTGTGCCTCCTGCTAACCGTATCGTTCAAATCACTTCATAAAGTTTTCCTTTTGTTTAGATGCTTACGGGTTTGAAATTTTATTCTGTAATATGTTCTGCAATTGTATATATTTTTAAAGTATGGCAATGTCGTTTCTAATTTTCCTCATTTAATGTTCTCAGTGTATATTGGAGTGGGGGATTGGCACATAATGGGGAATAAATTTATGAATCTATGGGCTAGCAAAATAGTACGGTGTGTGTGTTATTTAAAGGTTTCAATATTTTTCATGATCACCATCTATTATATTTGAGGGTTAAAAAGTTAGTTAATATACTGAACATTGTCAAAAGGAATTCTATAGCCTCGTGACCTTTCTTTTTTTCATAAGATGTGACTCTCATTTAGGTTAAGGCATATGAAATTGCTGATTTTGAACTCAAGAATGGTTAAATGTCATTTTCTGCAGTTCAACCCAATACAAGTTTGGTTGGCCCTTTTTTTAAATGTATTGGAGGGATGACTATTTAGACCCTGTTAAAATTTTCTGGAAGGTTAATTGGAGTGTTTACATAATTGAGGTTCTTCCTCTAGCATAAAATCTGTGAAATGGATTTACTGGTTTCCTTACTTCTCTCCCCTCAGACAAACAAACGTGTTTGGATCTAATCTCCAAGCTTTTCTAAGAACTTAATGGTGAATTTTCAGCTGCTTACTGCAAAATTTTAACACCTTTAACTTCCTCTTTCAAGAAAGGATTGTGTTTAGGGAGAAAGTTGGCATCTGTCTATATACCTATCTAGATGTAGATATACTAGACAAGCACTATTGGTGTATGTGATATACTATGGAAAACACCCTTGAACACTTTCTGGATGAGAATAAATGACTCTGCTAAAATAGAAGCCTATGCTTTTTAAGGTGAGTTAGTACAAAAACATTTGTCATGGATACAATCTTCAAGGGTTGTTCTGACCAGTAAGTTTCTGTGATCTAGAGCTAGTAGAAGTGCAACATCACTTGTATTGTTGCATGACAAAGGACATCTTTTTTAAAAATTTAAATTAATTAATTAATTAAAAATTTTTTAAATCTTTTTTTAAAATTTAAATTAATTAATTAATTTAAATCCAAGTTAGTTAACATATGGTGTAATAATAATTTCAGGAAAAGAATTTAATGATTCGTCACTTACTTGTAACACCCAGTACTCATCCCAACAAGTGTCCTCCTTAATGACCCTTGCCCATTTAGTCCATCCCCCCAGCCAACATCCCTCCAAGCAACCCTCAGCTTGTTCTCTGTATTTAAGAGTCTCTTATGGTTTGTCTCCCTCTGTTTTTTAGTATTATTTTTGCTTCCTTTCCCTTATGTTCATCTGTTTTGTCACTACAAAGAATATCTTAAATAATTCAAATTAGTGGGTTATTTTTCCAGTTTATTTCAGACTGTTGGAGTATAATGAGCATGGGTGATAGCAGTCAGATCAGGATTATGAAACTGGTGCTGCCACTTGTGTGACCTTGTGTGTGATACTTGAACACTCTAGGCGTTCATCTCTTCATTTGAAAAATGAGGTTCGAATGGAAATCCCTCAAACCTTAACTGATGTTAAATGTATGAGATTCTTCTGTGGCTCACAGTGGGGAAGTAAAGAAGTAGCGAAGTGTTTCAGAGACTGGAATGGATTATAGAGACTTTGTATTATCTAAATTGCTGTCTCTCCTATCCCTCTTGTATCCCCATCCTTTTTGGCCAATTTCATTTGTAAATTAGGAAAGGCAGACTAATTATGATCACACTGTTTATTGGAAACTTGGTCTCCTCTCAGTGATACAGTGGTAGTTACTCCTTCCATCTCTTGCTCTGCGTGGAGGGTATTTTGCTCCTTTAACTTTGAAAATATGAAAGCTTAAATATACATCCTTTAGAGCTTTGGTTCTTAATCATTTTCTGGTTGTGGATTCTTTAAAAAATCTAATGGAGAAATAGACTCTCTGCCTTGAAGGAAGCAGAGCATAGAGTTTAGAATACATTTCCAGCTAACAGTGTACCCCTGGCTAAGTTCTGCTTATGTTAAAATGTGTTGCTTTGTATCATATCAGTTCCCTGTCCTTCCTGACAAAGTACCATTAATGGCAAGTGTTATTGTAAGGATTAGCAATTGTGTAAGAAGAACCGCTGGCTCAAGTGTGTGGCATATTGTTGATGTTCAATAAATCATAGCCAATACTGTTGTTATTATTGTATTGTTCTGGTGTTATGATTGCTACTACTACTCTACAAGGTTCTTATGTTTTTGTAATAATATTTCTTTGGTGACTGAGTATGGATACATACCTTTCCCATTCTAAAATTATGAGTAACTAAATTTTTAGTGAAATCTTCACTTTTATTAACTTAAAATTTAATGTTGGAGAGAGAAGATTTTTACAAGTGCAGCCTTTTAAGATCCTTGTTAGTGCTGTCACCTAACTCATGTTGGAAGTAAAAACCGTACAGTCAAGAGGGTTCAATGTTAAGTAGAAAAATCTACAATTTGTTTCACTTTTGTGGTGCTGGTTTTATGGTAAACACAAGAAGGCAAAACCAAGAAAAGGAGAGTTAATCCCTTAACACCAGATTTTGAATACCAAAAGGCCATTATGTGTTGCAATATACTCTGGACAAAAAAAAAAAAAAAAAAAAAAAAAAATCTCTAGCAGCAATAATTACAACCTGTAGAAATATATATGTATATATATATATATATA